ACAGGAAAGTCCTGGACACCACCTAAGGAACAGGATTGCTGCACAACTCTCTGCTCCTGTCCAAATGGCACCACACCAGAGAGCACGATTACATCGAATGAACTTTGTTTTTTTTTGGAAAAACGTGGTTGTCTGTTAACTTGTGTTTTTGAAATGATGTGCACACATACCTGATTAATTTTGTTTGTTTTAGTGAGCTCCACTTCTCACTTTAGAGAAAAGAGGTGAAATAAAATAAACCTGTGCACCGTTGATTTCAAACTTGGTTTTCCTGAATTGTCTTTCTGCATAATCCCAAATTGGAGACAAATGTCCTTACCTCTTGGATCATTCAATCACGAGCACAGAGCAAAGGTTCAGAAAATGAACACAGGTCTTCTAATACAATCACTTTTGTTTTTGAGTGAAACTCTGCAAATGGTTTGACATGAGCAATTAAGACCGTAAATGTCATGTATATTTTAATGCCTTATACCTATGAAGCGCACAGACATATCTTTATTTAAAATGCTGATATTCAGGGTTAATCTTCAGACTTTGGAAAAAACACTTTAGTTCTGTGCACAACATTACTTTGTGCAAAACTTTTCCTTCTACATTATGAAACCCACACAGAACAATGTAGCCATCTAACAATCAAGCAAACGCAATGTCACCTTCATCACCCGTCTACCTGTATTTACTATAGAATATTGAAGACATGAAGGACAGTACGTTAAATTAGGTTTATTGTCTTCCAAATAAATAATACAAGCGAACAAAAACAAGTCTTTTAAGTAACATCAATAATCAAACATAGAAATGGCCAATGGTGGGGGGAAAAAAATAAATCACATTTTGTCGACCATTTTTTCGAACAGGGTTAGAGTGCTGCATTATTTGTCTGTGGCGTTCGTCCTCTTTTTCTGCCTCGCGTTCTAGGCACTCCAGCACTCCCATAGCACCTTTTCTTTTATTGGGGGGGGGCTGCTGGGTGGTTCCAGCATCAGACAGTGATGAGGGTGGTGAGGGGTCTGGATCATCAGCCACATTTGGGGGGGGAAGGAAGAGGAGCAGGAAGCAGCCTCCGGATCGAAGAGGATTGTGGAGTTTGCCAAGGCTGAGGCAACAAGGACAGGAGGACTAATTGAAGGCCTTGCACCTATGGCCTCATCCATGGCCATGAAGAAGGGCCATGTTGCAGGGGTTTCTTCCCCCTGATCAGTCCCTGTTCCAGTCCTTGGCCTTTTAAGTTCCTATTGCAAACAAATGCATGTTAGAAATCTTTGTTCAGCTTTTTCAAAAACAAACATGTTTTACAATAACAATACACCATTTACCTTGTATTTCTTTTTTAGGTTCTCCCATTTCTTGGAGGCCTGTTTGTGAGACACATGTTGCCCAAGGTCCAGTTCCTTAATGATTGACCTGTTATCCTAGAATATTTAAACAATATATATTGGTGTTAAGGCAATGACCCACTGTGCACATTCATTACTTTCATTGCACAAAATATGAATTGAGTGCATAACTCACTCCCATGCTTCTTTGGCAGCATTGCGTTTTTTGCAAAACAGGTCATCCTTGTCCATCCTTAATGCAATAAGTGCCTTGGTTTTTACCACAGTCCCTGAAATTACAAATCACACTTAAGTTTAAACCGATTTCGTAAGTGAATGGATACATGAATTGACACGTGTGTTGTTAGTTTGATTCCGATTTAGATTTGTACATCTTCAAAATAAAAATCTAATGTAATCTTGGCAAATCAAATTAACACGTGTAGATTTATAAATACATGTTCACAAAGGCATGTTTTAGTTAAGGCAACGTATTATTTATCGTTTAAAAAAATAACCACATGGAACTCACATTTGTATGACGTTGTTTCCTCCATGCCCGAAAAACGGTTGCACACCTGTGGAGTGAGATTATCAAGCCTGCATCCATGCAAACTCGCTGTCGGAGGCTTTTATAACCCACTACGCCTCCGCCCTGATTGCTTTGGACCAGCCCTCAATATGGCGGACCCTTCGCGTGAAACGGAGGGGTAGGGTGTAGGGGGCGGTTTGGGAATGGGCCTTCATGTGTTTCACAAGAACGTGACTGACACGATAAGATGCTATGGGAGCAGCCTTGCTCTTGTTGTTGGGCCTGGTGAAAATGGACTGCTGTGCATTTAGCTGTGCTTTCAGGTCCCTCCCCTTTTGGGAGCGTAGGGCAGAATTAGGAGGGAATAGGCTACATGCACAGTCACTTCCGCATTTTACTCATAGCGGCCGATTCATTTCCTGTTTGAAAATGACGACCTTCTACACCCGCTGCCTACAAGAGCTTCCGAAATTAAAAATGTCAGATGTTCATCGGATTTGCCGGACGACTAAAGCCCCAGCCAGCAAACTCGATAAAGGCTTCAAATTATATGCTGCGTCATATATACACAACTATGAAGGTAAGAAGGTAACCGGTACTAACCAGCTAGCTTATGCTCCGGGTTACGCTAACATTAGCCGTCAAAAGCTAGGTAACGCCAGAGCCCTATAGTATAACTACTATTATTATTATTATTATACTACTACTATAGTAGACTACTATAGGGCTCTGGGTAACGCTATGTACTGTTTCTGGTGTTAATTCTTTAAAACATTAGCCATTTTGCTAACAAATACTATCGTTTAATAGCCTTATAGCCTAGCCAAGGTTATCTTGTTGTTAGCCACACTGCATAATGGTATCAGTTTTTGTAAAGCAATGTTGCCATAGATGTGTTGACGTGAGTATAGATCTAACGCTGTTGCTCTGTTTTTCTTCATTCAGTGTCCAATAAAGACAGGCTGACAGGGCAGGTCAGCGTGAGAGCCTTGTGCTACAGGTCAATGCGGAAGAGCGAGACAGCACACAGTTTGAGTGTAGGCAGGCAGCATTGACACTGTTCCCCCCTGTTTATTGAGTTTCAGTTCAGTTAAACATTAGTTTACCTTAAGGGAATCTCAACAGTGTCCTACTTCTCCCTGCTTTATCACAGCTGATTGGTCAGATATTATTACATTGATTATGGATGTGTAAGTTTGGGGGTTCAAATATATAGTAAAAACTGCTTTAATACAATTTTCAAGGCATCTTAGTTTCCAAAGAAAGTTCATTGTGGTATTGTAGGGTAAGAGGGTAACACTAAGCATTCAGGAATACATGCTTCTTCTAGGATAATGGGTCAGTAAAAATAACCAATAATTCTACTCATAATAACCTCCTGGCTCATAGTAACAAGTGAGGTTACTAATCACTAGTATTTCTTCTCTCTTTTTTAGATAACGCTTCGTGATTCATCACCAGTGGTGCTCACGCACAACCAGTGCTCCTGTGTTGCAGGAACTGTTTTGTGCAATCACACAGTAGCATTGCTGTTCCAAACAGCACACTACACTGAACTGAACATGCCAGTTGTGCCACCTGTGCATAGCTGTACTGAATCGGAACAGCAATGGCACAAGCCGCGAACAATGGTAATTTCAATGAGGTTCAAATACTTGTAATCTTTCACAGAGTTTTTGTTTTAAAGTGACTCAACGAACAGTAATTGTCTTTTCCTTAAGGGTGTGAAGCCAGGGCCCATCAACTCCATGGTCTTCACCAAGCCTGTACCAAATAGGATGGTGCAGACTGGAGTAAGGTAATTTTAGCTGGAAAATTGTGTTTCCTGTGTTTTTAAAATTCATAATTCTAGTGCTGTATTCCTAACCTTTATTGTCACATTAATGTGCTATATTGTCTTTGCCATTCTTTGTAGGAGTGGATTCTACAGAGGCATGGTGGGGCCATTACCAGATCCCTGCCTGTTCAGAGTTACGGAGGCATACTCAGCATTCAGCATTGAAGACAGGCCGCTTGTGACCACAATGAACATGAGACCTGACAAGCCCCTTGTGGAAAGTGCCTTCGGGATTGTGCAGGAGGGCAGTGTTCTGTCCTATCAGATGCCTGCTTTGACGTCTCGGTACACCACACTTCACACTGACACACCACCAACACCCCACTTGCCCATAGAGGGGTATGTGATCTTGCCATGTGATTTACCGCTGGTGTGCTCAGAAGAGGAGCAACTACATATGAACAGCTTATCTGTTGATTTGGAAATGTCTCACAAAATTGAGGAGGCTACCCGTGAGCAAAGCTCTAGCTCAGAGTGGCATCTGCTCCGCAAACCCAGGGTTACTGCCTCTAGGTTTAGAGAGATTTGTCACGTCAGAGGTGAGAGCTCTGCTAACTCTCTTGCAGAGCGAATACTCAAAGGTACAAGGCAGACTGCAGAAATGAGGAGAGGTGCCGAGATGGAGCCCACAGTAGCAGCTGAATACAGTAGACTGGCAAACGTGAACTACTCCCCTTGTGGCCTTGTCATTCACCCCTCTACGGCCTGGCTTGGTGCCTCCCCTGATGGAGTTGTTTTTGACCCAACAGAATATCCCCAATTTGGCCTTGTTGAATTCAAATGTCCCAAATTATGTCGACTGCAAATATGTGCAGATGGAATGTGGCTCCCCTAAACTCAAGAAAAGCCATGCCTATTACTGGCAAGTACAGGGTCAACTTCTTGTATCTGGGATGCAGTGGTGTGATTTTGTAGTGTGGGCACAAGAGGACTACCTGGTGCAAAGAATATACACAGATCCAGAAGTGCAAAGAGCAATCAGAGAAAAAGTAGACTTTTTTTTTTTTTACACATACATGCCGAAGTACCTGTCATTAAAAAAGTAGTGGGCACTGTAGCCATTGTTAACTCTGTAAGCAGTTAGCTGCTAGACCCTGGCTCAGCCGTCATTGTTTTTAGGAGGCAATCCCTCAATCATGTGTTCTGAATGACAACAAAATGTGATTTCAATATTTTGTTTTTGATATATATTGTTTGTCACATTTCATATATGTAAATAAATATACAATTGTATTTAAAAAGACAATAAAGTGAAGTGATTTGTGTAATGAATAGTAAATCAGTGCATTTGTAAGAAATCATCAACGCATTGTAATTTGCTATTTACCATTTATTCAAACAAAACACTAGCGTGTGTCAGGCAACACGGGATTACGGTGTGCTCACCCAGCTTAATCACAGCTACCTGCACAGGTGTCATCATCTTGTCTTATTTCACCCATTTCTTGACCAGTGCTTTGTTCTGATAGTTTGACAGCATACATGCTACTGCAAACAGTTGGTTGATGTTGTAGGCATGGGACAGGAGGATGACACCATCAAAAAGTTTGTTCTCTTTTATCCTCCTAATGACACGCTCCACATGAACCCTCAGTCTGGCAATGGCCTGTGTCTCCCTCACCTGATAGGCTGGCATTTGCTTCTGCTTTGACAGAAAAGGTGGGCAGTACACCTTGCATTTGCAGCAATCGCTGATCAGGAAGCCCTTATCTACCATCACTGCCATGTTTTCAGTCAACAACGCAGCTATTCCAGATTGTTTGAAAATCTCCTTGTCGCTGACAGAACCACCATACAGACTAGAAACAAATGTCACTGCGCCATGTGGGGCTATGCCAACCAGGGCTTTCATGGTGCAGTGAGATTTGTATGTAGAATACATTTCACTTTGGAGGAGGAGTGAGGATGGTGTTTGACACCTCAGCTCTGTGCAATCCAGGATCACCTGTGTGTCTGGGAAATCTTTGAATGCCTCTGGGAGGTGGGCTTGAACTTCTGCAGGTGTAAGCCAGATGCACTGTGACCCCAATAAAGTTGTAAGAAAACTCGTCCATGTTGCAATGATGCGGCTCACAGTGGACTGGTGTACGTTGAAGCGGTTTGCAAGGTCCCTCTCTTTCAAACCCACCGACAGGAAGCAGAGAAAAAGGAAGAACTCGTCAATTGGCTGAAGCAGCTGTCTCTGGAAGATAAACAAAAAAAGGGTACTATATCCAGGGCTCGACATTAAGGACTGCCCGATGGCCCGGGGCCATATAGTATTTAGCTCTGGCAATGGAGCCTCACCTGCTGGTTGCCCGACCGGGCAATCTATTATGCCAGTATCATGCAGCTTGCGGATCCAGTAATGAGTGACCCGACAGTAAATCTAAACATATCTATAACTAGTTTAGGTAGTTTGAGAGGTAATTAAAATAGCTACGTGTGATATTCTAACCTGAAGTGTGTGTTTTGTCCGCTCACCGCTGCAGGTGATTATGCAGAGCTGCGTATCAACTCGTCAGCAGCAGCTGATCTCTCTCTCCCGTCAGATTAGACTTCACTCGCGTTTATGTCCATATCGATCAGATCCAGCTAGTTCTAGATGATATGACTACCTGCTTATTAAAAGACACCTAAACAATAAGTGTCGCTATGCAACCGGGTGAGGCCGCAAAGTATAGCGCAGCATTATGCATTTGTTTACATGCCCACCGGAACCCCAAGGTATTACCAACAGATCAACGCACAATCAACCCATACAGGACATCTCTTTCTCCACATTAAGTGTTAGACATTAGAGTTGACTCTTCTTGTCTGTCACATACTCTTCTTGTCTGTCACATAAGTGGCGCAACTGAAGCGGTATTGCGCTAAAGGGAAATAATTTTGACCGAAGAGATTTAGATTTGCCGGCTAACGGGAACTCTGACGTCCCATTTTGTGTGCTTCGCGGATACGCTCGGCTCCTCTCGACTGCTGCTCGGGTCTGCTCGGTCAGCTTCCGGATGAGGAGGCATTCGTTCGACCAACTTACAGTAGATAACATTACAAACATTTTTAACAGGGGCCATAATAGTGTAAATAATGTTTGTTTTGGCAGTTATAACTGAATGTAATGTTTTCTACTTTTTTCCATCTGGGAAGCCATTTGCCTTCATCAGATGGAAAGTGTCTTGATCAACAACTTAAGTATTTATTATAGCTATGCAGGTCATGCAAGCGAGCAAACACAAACAAGAACAAACAAACAAGTGAAATGAAGAATAAAATTGAACAATATAATATTGTGGTGGTTCATCTTATAATTCAGTCTAGAGAATGCACCAGACAGCATCTAAGACCTGCAACAATCTAAATGTTCTAGGGGGAGGCCCCCCAAACCCTTCGTGCGTCATTTAGTCCGCGAGCATTTTTCAGGGCAATCTCTATTGGGCTCAGGGCCATCTGTAAATTAGCTTAGATGGCCCACAGGGCCATCTCCCAAAATCCTTAATGTCATGCACTGTATATTAATGTCATGAGTGTAGCACACCATGGGAAAAACATTAAGTTGTTTTAGTTCTCTGATGTATTCAAAAAGGATTGAGTACTATAGCCTTTTAGCCTACACGAAAGCAATGAAATGTTGGAGAAACATTTTCCCTTCAATTTGTGTGTTAAAAGAAACGTAGCCTACCGTTGATGGACGTGTGTGTGTAACCACTTCTTCATTCCTCTTGGCAGCTGATATCGCACTTGTAACACGAACCATTTTATAAATGGAAGGCTCAATCAAAAACCAGAAGGCCATCAGGTGGTTATAGCTTGGGAATCTGTACACAAAAGACACATGTCAGTCATTAATTGACTCGTTAACTGTAACACATGGGCTAATGCTTTCCTCTTGTTTGCTATAATACATTACAATTCAAATAGACTGATTAAGAAGGCACTTGGTGCAGGTATAGTAATATACAGCAGTAACATGTAACAACTACATTAAAGCAGCAGTAATAATAATCTAAAACATACAGGGAACATTTTACATAGAATGACTACTTTTACTCTTCATTCTTAAGTGTGCAACTGGGAGAAACGCAGTGGATATTGACATGTACTTTTACTTTGGTAAGGTTTTGAAGATTTCCACTTGTAGTAAAGTATTATCAGTATGTTGTTAGTATTAGTATGTTTTACTCCACCACATTTAGTTAACCTTCATAGTTTCTAGTTACTTATGAAAACACATGATTTATGATTCTACATGTTCAGTTCAGGAGTATTTTCAAACCATAGTATTTGTACTTATACTTCAGTTAAGTTGAGTAGCCTACTTATTCCAACACTGCATGCAAATAGTCAGCAGTCAAACGGCAGGTAAACAGGATTCTTTATAAGCTAACCCATCTTAAAAACTTGGATAGAATTTAGCCAAAACATTACCTGGTATAGAATCGGAGGTTGTCGTCGGAGCCAGCAAACCGCTGTAAGCAAAACTCTCGCTGGACTCTTAACTCCTGCAGTTGCTTCTGCAGATCCTCCACTGTTTTGGAGTTGTCTTCTGTAGCTTGAGAGGACATGTCCAGTGAAGCTGGTTCAGGGGTTGAGCAGTAATCATGGTCACGGACATCGATGTGCTCTTCCTGCTCCTCCCGAGAGACTGGTTCAGTGGGCCGCTCTCTTCTCTCCCAAACACTAGCCCGCGGTGTTTGAGCAGTGAAGTGATAACACTGAATATTGTTGTTCTATTTTTAGACACATCTCGCGATCGACTGGGAATCTCTCCTGCTTTAGGGAAATGAAGGTGTCACAGCACCAAGAGCAATAAGAATTAAACTCAGTATAGGGCACACAAATGTGAAAGGAATAAAATAAGAATATAAATGTACATATTATCAGGTCAGTGACAAACCCCTACTATTGATCCAATTATTTTCACAATAACCGCAGAACTTATATTACACTTACACTCCAGAAAAAAACATGAACTTCAACAGTAAACACACAATAGAGAATCCGAGAAAAAGGGACTGATTATCACATATTGAAAACATTTTCTGTTTATCAGGTAAAGTGCTTGATAAATGACACGAGTCAATAAATCCTTTATTTATAAAGCACCTGATTCTATTCTTTTTATGTGTTTGAAGTATATTAAGGCATTGTGGAACTCGCTGTAGCAATCTTAATCTTATTTTCATTATTATTGAACTTTATGTCAAAGAACTGATTTGAAAAATACATTGTCATTTTTTAATCAGGCACTTTTTTTTTGTAAAGCCAATGATATCTTAAACTGGGTGATTCAGGTTTTAGATATAAACATAATAATGCATATTTATGTATAGCCTAAATGCCGTAAGCTAGAGCAAATCAAGCATGTTAAAACGTTCTATTTAACATTCTAAGAGACTGATAAGTGACAATATAGTTAAATGTTATGAGGATGTTTCGTGACCTCCTATATATATATATAATTCTCAAACTAGTATTACCAATGTAATGTGCTTGTCACAGTCTGCTCCATCCTTCACCAGTAGTTTTCCATTCACCTGTCTCACCTGTTAACCACACACACGTTGTTGCTCTCTACTGCACCCATTAGTCATATTGCCAGTATTTAAACCCTAACCAGACACACACCCGTTGCCAGATCGTACTTTGCCTTCATGCTAGTCTTTCACACGTTTGTTACCAGATTGCCTACCCGGTTCCGACCCTGCCTGTCCCCGACCTGCCTGCTCTGCCTGTTCCCTGATCCTGCCTGTGCTTGGACTATCCTGCCTTGCCTGCTGTCTGACCCTGCCTGTACCTCCGTTGACCGCCTCGCCTGCTCCCTGACCCTCTGCCCGGCCCTGACTCACCTTCTGCCTGCTGTCCTCTGGTTCGTTTGCCTGCACATCATCCGGCTGTTACTGTTCTGCTGTTATCTCTCTGCTCTGGTATTATTACCAATAAAGTACATTACCAATACTCCTTGGTTTCTCGAGTGCTGCATTTGACATTGTGACAGATTGTGACAGTGCTAAATAAATTATAGAAAAAGTTTTTTTTTTATTACATTTGAGTTAGGTTTGGATAATTCACAGGCTCATGTACAAGTTTAAGTATGAGTGTGACACATTTTAAATTGAACATTTATTAAATAAATTACAAATAAAAATACAAAATGAGATTACAATGTAGAAAGAAATCAAATGCAGATGTTCAAAAAGGGAACAAAAAGGACACTGAATGGTATGATACAAATAAAATGTAATGAATCATGTGCTATGGGTATTATAATCCCAAATGCCCTTATTACTAATAATGTTATTGCAAATCATATTTTACTTTCAAATACAGATTTGAAAATAGTGGTATTTTTGCGAACCTATTCATAATTTGTAGATTGTTAATTTCACATGAACTGCTTTTGTTAACATTAAAAAATAAAATAACAACAAATGTGTCAAATGTTTTGACTTGCCATTCGATCACATTGTTACTTATTCTGACTTCTGAGTGTGTAAATGTAATTCTTAGAGAAATAGTTTGGGTGTTAATTTCAACCTGACAAGAAATATGGAAGATGTAAAGGCTGTACACACCAACCTGAGACCAAAGAACGCGTACCGAAGGCGTCCCACTTTTACGTCGCCTGCGTCGGCCACGCCACCCGCCTACGAACACACCGCAAAGACTTCAGTCGACGAGTGGCCATAACTGTCCTTACCAGCAGGCAGCGGTAGTGTGTATTCGTCATTCAAAAGAGGCAACAACCGGAAGACAGACTATACACAGAGAGAAGAAGAACAGGCTGCGTGATATAAACAAACAACAAATAGCGTCTGGGTTCCATTTTCACTCACTCTCGTCGATCAAAAACATGTAAACATAAAAAAGAAACACTTGCGTCCGGGTGAGATGAAAATGAAAAAGATTAGCCGTCTGTGTGTGCCTTCTTAATCGTTTGTTTTGGTCCTTCACTTCCGCTTCGCTTCTCATGCACTGATTCGCTAAGCTGAACAGCCAATCAGAGTGATTTATTTGGCCGATTCAACATGTTGAATCAGCCGCGGGAGGTGTGAAAATGTGCTGTAAAGAGACGACAGTGCGGGACACACCAACCTGAGTAAGGGCGCCGCGAATGCCCGACTGCCTCTGACGGCCTCTGACTCCCAAAATCGGGTTGGTGTGTCAGGGGCTTTAGACGACAAATTAAAAAGCTGAGATCCAATGAAGCATTGAAGTGGTCAATTCATTTCACCCGATGCTGTTGTTTCTTAAACCTCTTTCCCATCTCTTAAATGCGTATACAAAATGATTGCATGCCAAAATGATTCTGCTTCCCATTTTCCACACCAGAGCCTGAACACTGCAGCGATGCCTCCCCCCGGTGTGTGTCTGAACATTATGGAGGCCCGTCAAAGGCACGACGGTTATGGTTGCTTTGCCAACCCTGAGAGGTTTTTAAACCAAGACTACCAGCAGCTGGAACAGTATTGCAACATTCGAGGAGTGCGGTACATCGACGACATGTTCCCCCCCGACAGGAAATCTATCGGCGAAGGGATACTGAAGCCTTCTGACCTGAAGCGAGTGGTGTGGCTGAGACCAGCGGTGAGTGTTTGGGAAGAGCTCAACAGAAGCTAAAGAGTATGCCAAGCCATTTGAGTATTTATTCTATATACTTGATATCAGACGGCAGTTTCCTTCACTACTTTTACTAGTGTGTACCAAAATACTAACTACTTAACTAGTAGGAGTGTATTTTGACTTTACTAGTTGACTAGTTATAAATACATTATTTAACATGCTAATAAGTTCATACAAAAGTGTTCTCTAGGTCTCTAGGCTTTTTCACCTCACCAGTTAACTAGTGAAGCTCAAAATGTTTATTATTGGAACTAGTAAAAGACAAAATGTTCATCTTGTTGGAATGACTTTACAACTAAACTTGTGAGATTCCCAGCGTTATATGGCAAGCTATTCCATATCCTTGATATCAGTCGGCCGTTTTCCGACACTAGTTGAACCAAAATGTTCCTTAGTTTACTAGTAGAACTGTCTTTTAACTTTACTAGTTTACTTTTTTCCAAACTTGATTCAACAAGTTTACAAGTTAAGGCAAAAATGTTCACATGGTAACTAGTAAAAGCCCATTTTACCTAGCGTGTGAGGCTCAAAATGTATACGAATAAAATAAAAAATCAACAAGTCACACTACTTTGATTGTCTTTTAGAATAACTAGTTCATTTTTGATATTTGATATACTTTATTAATCCCCGTGGGGAAATTGTTTCTCTGCATTTGACCCATCCTAGTGTTAGGAGCAGTGTGATGCCATTTTGAACGGCGCCCCGGGAGCAGTGTAGGGAACGGTGCCTTGCTCAGGGACACCTCGGTAGCACTTGGTCTTGCCGGGACCTGAACTGGTGACCTTCCAGTTACCAAGCCAAGTCCCTATCGACTTCGCCACCACCGCCCCAAACTCAGCGATTGTTGATCTAATTAGTTAACTAGTGCAGACTTTTGTAGTTCACTGGTTAAGTGGTGAGCTGAATCCCTGTTCGACTAGTTAACTTGTCAGGAACTTTACAGCCCAGTAGTTAACTAGTACAACTTTCATGGTCTCTAATATGTCTGGAGGGCCACTAGTGAGTCATAAAGTTGACTCGTTTGAACTTTGGCACCATTATTGCGGTGCCTGGTGTCACTAGTAAGGCCTGTATTGAAACACGTTTGATAAAAGTGTACTTTTAAAAAAAAGAGCGACAAGTCTTTGTTCAACTAGAAAGAAAGAATGCAAACCAGTGGGACCAAATGTCTAACTACTGCTGACAAAGAGCCACCTAGTGGAGGAAATTGCCATCTGACATAAAGGATACATTTTCACACGGCTTTCCATAGATGACTGCCTGTATGTTTGATCAAGTAAGTCATAAATAGTCTTTCATCAGCATAGAGCTAAACCATATACTCTTCAACACTCCCCGTTTCAGAAAATTGCTCCTTACCCAGCCTTTGTACTTGACGGGGTCTGCAGGTTTGACTTTGGTCAAGGACTTGTTGGTAAGACATTTCTTCATTTATCATTTTTCCAATAACATGCTTCTTGTCTCAACAACTCATTGGCTCATTTTTTAAACAGAAGACTGCTGGTTTCTGGCCTCAATTGGAGCACTGACATTCCAGAAAGACATCCTATGTAAAGTTGTCCCTCTTGAGCAAACGTTCAATGAGAAATACTGCGGGATGTTCCACTTCAGGGTAAATATTCACAGCACAAATGGTTCTTATTTTTGGCACTATATTTTCATTGAACTCTGATTGTAATCAAACTTCATGTGCTGAATGTGGGATGTCAATTATATGGAAGCAAACAAGAGACGTAATTATTTAAATTGTATCAGTCACCGAATTTATAGCATTGAAAATGTTTACTTTGAAAATCATGTATCTGAATTTTTTTGTTCCGAATTTATGTGAAATAAAAATCTGAAATATCTTGATATCCTGAATTTCAATGTATTTGTTTCAGTGTTCACAAATTCAGATATAAAAATTCAAGTAAAATACATTTGAATGCATAAGTTGTTAGAAGTAATCGTGGTGAATGTAGTTTTCAGATAATTTACTTCAGTAAAAGTACTAGTGCTACACTACACAAATACTCTCTTACAAA